GGTTAAGCCTTGCCATGATGGTCGCAGCGCCCGCGTGAATTGCCGCCGAAAAGCGAACGCTGCCACTGGCGGCCTGAATCATCGTCGCGGGTAGGCGGGTCGGCCGTCGCGACAACGTCGCAATCTCTAGTCCCCGCCCTCTTCCTTTCCGATGGCCAGCCTAGCCTGATCCAATCCCAACGGGCGCGGGCACAGCAGGTTCTTTCGCATCATGCGTCAATCCTTTCTCGTCGGCATCAGCTTCCAAGAGTGCGTGCTTCTGGCTTCCGGCGGGCGCCGTGATGACCGCCGCGGCAGTTGGCCTCATCGCGAACGTTTTGATGGCATGCTCCATCTTCGTTCGAACGCCTCGCAACTTCTCGTCGTCGCTCAGGGCGCAACCTCTGCCAAGGGACCCGATGGCATCTTCGACGGCCTTACATGCATCATGCGGTTTTGGTTGCTCCTGGGCGAAATTAACGCTGCCCGGGGCCAAGCGCGATGTTGCCTCAAGAGCGCACCTGCCTCTCCACGCCTGATCGTATATGCGCCGCGGCACGGAGTCGACATGCTTGCGGAACGGTCCCAGGAAGTTTTTCTCTAGGAATGTATCTTCTGAGTTGCAACTCTCTGCACGAATTCAGGCGAGGCGCACCCCCCGCTGGCGCACCTCGGCATTATCCGTCCCGAGAGTCCCTACCTGCCCACTCGCGCTCCCACATGCCAGGTCGAATTTATTTTCCGCGCGAATCCAGACGAGGCGCAACTCCCGCTGGCACATCTCGGCATTATCCGTCTCCAGACCCGCAACCCGCCCCCCCTCGCGTTCCCCTGCGTCAGGTCGAGTTTACTTTCCGCGCGAGTTCAGACGAGGCGCACCTTCCGCTGGCGCATCTACAATGACGACGACGATGACGACGGCGACGGCGATGATGACGACGACGATGACAACGACGACGAAAGTGGCGACGACGACAACGACGAGTGGGACGACGACAACGACGATGACGATGATAATGGCAACGACGACGACAACAACGACGACGACGACGATGCAAACGTTGATGATGTATCGTGCGAAACGCATATTTTAGAGCGGAACGGTTGGAAACACTGTTTTAAGATTTTGCCTCTTGGACCTTCTTGGGGATCCTCCAAGAATGCGACCAGTATATGTCGTAAGGCAGCGTGTTGCACATCCCATTGTTTGGAGGATTTCTCAGGCAGGAGCCTCATTCTTGAGAATACGACGAATTCGCAAACTCCCTGGATATCTCCGTTTTTCGAGGATGTCCCGGGCGAGAGCTACATGTTTATCATGTGAGGTCTAATCACAGCTCTTTCGGCATCTGTTTGTTTCGAGGATGTCCCAGGCGGAACGCCCATGTTTGGAGATCGGCGGATTTCGCGAGAGATTTCGAGATCTCCATTGTTCGAAGACGTCTGCAGCGAGAGCTTCATTTTCAACATAAAGCGCCCTGACGTAGATCCTCCGAGATGTCCATTTCGCGAGGATGTCTCAGGCGAAATGGCCATTCTGGGGAACCTTGTTTCCTGACATGAGCGGGAAGCGCGTGAAAGGGAAGAATTGCGCAAGAACTTGCAGCAACATCGCCGTCAAATGTAATATAGGCGAGCTCTCCGAACGTTCACAAAGGACCTATGTCAGATCGAGTTTACTTCCCGGACGAATTCATAAGAGGCGCACCTCCCGCTGGCGCATCTCGGCAGTATCTGCCTCCAGACCCCAAACCTCCCCACTCGCATTCCTCTATGTCAGGTCGGGTTTAATTCCCGCGCGAGTTCAGGCGTGACGAGGCAGACCTCCCACTGGCGCATCTCGGCATCATCCGTCTCTCCACTCGAACTTCTCTATATCAGGACGAGAGTTCTTTCCGCGCGACTTCAGACGAAATGCACCCCCCGCTGGCGCATCTCGGCATTATCCGTGTCCAGACAGGCCCCCAACCTCCCCACTCGCGTTCCCATGTGTCAGGACGAGTGTTCTTCCCGCGCGATTTCAGACGAAATGCACCCCCCGCTGGCGCATCTCGGCACTATCCGTGTCCAAACCCCTAACCTCCCAACTCGCGTTCCACCATGTCAGGTGGAGCATACTTTCCGCACGAACTCAGACGAGGCGCGCCTCCCGCTGGCGCATCTTGGTATTATCCGTCTCCAGACCCCCAACCACCTCCCCTCGCGTTCCAATTTGTCAGGTCGAGTGAACTTTCCGCGCGAATTCAGACGAGGTGCATCTCCTGCTGGAGCATCTACAATGACGACAACGATGACTGACACCCTGCACCTATGCACCCTACGCCTAACACCCTAGGCCTAAGTATGAATACCAACCCTAAAGCCTGAACCATAACCCTAAACACGATCCCGAAACCTGAACCCTGACACCCGGAACCCCAAAACACGAAGCCCAAACCCTAAACCAGAGCACTAACCCGATGCCATGGCACCCCCGAAACCAGAACACATTCGCCCTAACACCAAGCACTGCACATAACACTACAACCCTGATCCCAACCCTGAAAGACCCGAATCCCTAACCAGAAGCAGGGACACCAAACCGACCCACTACCACATTACCACCCTAACCCCCTAACCCCTTACCCTTACCCGAAGCACTGCCCCCAACCCTGCACCCTAAGTAACACCAGATGTCGAATCCTGAGCGCTGACCCCACCACTGCACCCTAAAACCATACCCTAACACCCTCAACCGAATCCCTGAATCCCCTCCCACGCGCCGGAGCGCGCCCTGTCCAGCCCCCCCCGCCGCCGAAAGGGGAAGGTGGGGAGATGCCCCCCCCCTTCGCCAGTGCAGAAGGGCGAAGGGAGGAAGAGAGGGGTGACAATTGTCACCTTTGAGCGGGAAGAGGAGGGGAAGGTCCACGAGCAGCCCCAGCCCTTTCAAGCGTAAGAAACACAACTGGCACTCTTACCCGCGTTCGGGCATCAGTGGTGTGGACCCGTCTGGAGCTCCTTCCACGTCGGGATGCCCAAGATGATGTAGCCGCGCTCGTCGCCCATATATTGGCGCGGCATGTTTTCGCGCATGCCTTGCTGCTTGTCTCTTCATGTATGCCTTGCTGCTTGTCGGGTGTCGTCGCCTCGATGTGTTGAAGATTAGTTGGCTTTCGATCTGTCTACGCATTGGTGTTGTAGGATGCTCGAGCAACTTGGTCTACGATCGCACTTGTCTCTACTACAAGTACCACATACGCCGAACAAGGCGTCTGTGGGGGGACTCCGCTCCAACAAGGCGGCCGCTTGCGGGGTGCCCCCACTCACAGCATCTCCGAAGATGGGGGGCCAAGACGGTCGCCACCAGCCAGCACACTCTCAACAATAAGAATATTAAACCATCCGAGAGGCCGATCGGGGCCTGGTCACTCCCATCACAGCTCGAGGCAGCAGCGGCGGCAGGACGGCCGTGACTCAGCATGATGCCAACTTTGCGTCCGTCCGTAGCGCGCGGATGCCGATGCGCCTGAAAAGAACAGGTTTGCAGACGGCCTGCTTTTGCGTCTAGGACGCAAGCGTGTTTGACAATTGGAGGCAATGGTCCCAAGCCCCGAGCTAGTGAGCCAGAGGCATCTGAATCTTCTGAACGTCCTCGTGCTCAACGCCAGTGGCGGGGGAGCGCCCACGTGGGCCCGTGCTAGCTGGAGTCCCCGGTCGAGGCTGGAATCCTCCTCACACCAGCAGTGGAATCGCTTGCAGGATGTCCCGGACCGCGGCGGAGCCAAGCGAGACTGTGCCTCGAGCGGAAGTGGAGAGGCTTCACCTTCCCGTCCCACCGGCCACAGAGCTCGAATTCCGCCGAGCCCGCGGGTTGGCCACCATGTCGAGCGTCACGGCATTGAGGTGACGGGGTGCCCTTGGCTGGATCAGGATCCACTGCGTGACGGACCAAGCCTAGATGCCTTCTATCTTCTGCATGCCCTCGCGCAGAGCGCCGTCTGTAGGCGGTGGTGGATGCCAGCCTTGGGGGTCGGTGTCACGCCCAAACGAATCTACTGTGTGCCCTCACGGATCGCGCCCTCCGCACGGGGGCGAAGGGCAATGGCCCCTGGGGCCCATGCTGGCGCTGGACTCTCCGGGGTAAATGCAGGAGGGACCGATGGCATACCACGCGACTGTACTTCGGCAGGGGATGTGATGCCTGTCGCTGGCAGCTCTCAGGAGCTGGGGCCATCCTCGCACGTGCCAGACAGCCGCTCACGGGGGTGCGGGGGTGAGGGGGGCATATAGGTGGCGACATTCTACCCCCACCAACCATCGCTTCGCCTGAACCGATGGGAGGTAGGGGTGAGGTTCGATTCCGCCACGTGTTCGAACAATTCCGACCCCTGCCCACGCCGCCCATCGAGTTGCCTGAATCGTTGATCGTAGAGGGCAGGGTTCGGATTTTGCCGCCGAGTGAGGAAGCCACTGGCGGTCGGTCCTCCGCTGGGCCCTCGGCCAGGGGAGAGTGGGTTGCGCCTTCGGGCCGATTCGGGTCAGGCAGTGGGCGGCTCGAGCGTCGAGGACGGGGAGGAGAACGACCTTCATTCACAGCAAAGATTCACCCTGGGAAGCCTCCCTCTGGGATGGTCCAATGCGCCCGTACATACTCGTGGGCAACACGCTCGTTACGGCCAGACCGGAGAGCTCGAGAATCCCCGACAGAAGCTCGAGACCCAATGCTGGGGCTCCCGGCGACCTGAGCCACACCCCGAAGGAACTGCTGATGCATCCGATTGTGCCTCGAGGGGCAGGAGCAGCAGGAGGCGAGGCAGGAGGGAGGGCAGCACGGGCAGGCGTGGAAGGCGGCTTCGCGTCCCTGAGCTTCACCTGGCATGCTGCTCGACAGCATCCGTCCCTCCGAGCCTCCCGCTCCCTTCCCTCCTCCTCCTCCTCCTCCTCATCCCGCCTCCCTCCTCCTCCTCATCCTCCGCCTCCTCCTCTTCCATCCCTCCAGAGTCTCCTCCTTCTCGAGCTCCTCGTCCCTCCTCCTCCCCCCCTCTGCGGCACGCGTCGAGCGAGCTTCCTTTCCTGGTCCGGGCCCGCGCGCCCTGCCGGCTCAGGCCACGCGCCCGAGCACCGCGGTAAGGTACGCAGCCTGCATGGGAGGGGCCCGCTTCCCCAACGCCGAGGCAAAGCGGCTGCGCAGAGGAGGACCAAGAACAGAGTATCGGGAAAACGTTCATCCGCCGCCACGCTCCGCCGCGGCTGATGTCTGCGTGTGAACGCGCGTCCGTGCGTCCGTCCCTGCGTGTAGGTGTAGGTGTAGTTGTAGGTGTGTAGGTGTGTAGGTGTGTAGGTGTGTAGGTGTGTAGGTGTGTAGGTGTGTAGGTGTGTAGGTGTGTAGGTGTGTAGTGTAGGTGTAGGTGTAGGGGTAGATGTAGGTGTAGGTGTAGGTGTAGGTGTAGGTGTAGGTGTAGGTGTAGGTGTAAGAGTGTGTGGGGGGGGGTAGGCGTAAATGTGTGTGTGTGTGCGTGTGTGCGCGCGTGTGTGTGTGTGTGCGTGTGAGAGGGTAGCTGGCCTACGCCCGCGCTCACTCCCCGGCTTTAGCCCGACTCCGCTACGCAGCTGCGCGCGTGGTCTCGTCGCCAAAAAGTGTGTGCGCGTGTGTGCGTGTGTGTGTGTGTGTGTTTTGTGTTGTATATATATATATATATATATATATATATATATATATATATATATATATCAGCCGGCCCCCTTGTGGGACCACCAGGCTGTAGGCCCGTGATTCGCAGTTTCCTGTACCAGTTGTAGCTTGTAGTTTCCAGTGTTACAGGTTTGCTTCTTGCTGGTTACTGTAACTAGTTGATTGACAGCGCGAGGGGGGGGGAGGCCCAAACGGGATTTTTAGCGTCCCCTGGGCGCGTTGTCTGAATTGCTGGGGGGGCTCGAAATCAACACCCCTCACGCAGATCCGCGGGGTCAGGGTCCAAAAACACAAGGGATTTGCCACATTTCTGAAATTCGGTGCCACCCCTCACGCAGATCCGCGGGGTCAGGGTCCAAAAACACAGGGGATTTGCCACATTTCTGAAATTCGGTGCCACCCCTCACGCAGATCCGCGGGGTCAGGGTCCAAAAACACATGGGATTTGCCACATTTCTGAAATTCGGTGCCACCCCTCACGCAGATCCGCGGGTCTCCAAAAACACATGGGATTTGCACATTTCTGAAATTCGGTGCCACCCCTCACGCAGATCCGCGGGGTCAGGGTCCAAAAACACAGGGATGTGCCACATTTCTGAAAATTAGAAAACACAGGGATTTGCCACATTTCTGAAATCGGTGCCACCCCTCACGCAGATCCGCGGGGTCAGGGTGCAAAAACACAAGGGATTTGCCACATTTCTGAAATTCGGCGCCACCCCTTACGCAGATCCGCGGGGTCAGGGTCCAAAAACACAGGGGATTTGCCACATTTCTGAAATTCGGTGCCACCCTTCACGCACATCCATCGCAAGGCGTGGTAACCCAAACTGCGAGAACTCCCGCGGTCCTTTAATCGCAAGGTGTGGTAACCAAGCCCGTAAACCATACACGTCTTACCAATCGCCAGGTGTGGTAACCCCTCTTGTGATCAGTTGGTGTTGCTGATTGCGAATCGGCTTCGCATGAAGTTTCGATACCGCTTCACGACAGCGCCAAGACCTCATGACTTAGCTCTTCCATGGCCCATTCTCCGAGAGAGGGGGCCGGCGGCAGGGGGCGAAGCCCTTACGGATAGACAGAGAGAGAGAGAGAACAAAAAAAAGAGAGAAAGAAAAACAAAGATACCACTGATTTACCTCATCAATTCAGATCTGTTGTCTGTGGACCATAGGCTAGCGCCACCAACCCCATCACATCATGGGCTTGTTGTCACTCAACTACGTGTTTAGACTTACGATGGTGGTTCCCCCCCCCACCCCCCCGTGCACGGAATTCAGCACCGCCGAACCAAATCAGCATTGATGATGTACTTCAGGATCTCGTGCAACTTAATACTCCAAGAAATATAGAGAAGGTCCGGACAGGCAGAACATCGGTCTGGCATGAAACGCCACGGCTCGAAGTCTGATCTCGTCCCGCCAACAAGTTGTACCCACTCCCGCATCACTGGGTTCAGCTTGCCAAACGCAGTGCGTACCCAAAGAAAACAAAGCACCATGCACAATTCGTTGTGTACAACGGTGCGTGAAGGAGAAAGTGTATACGGAATCGATGATCACGCTGTACGGCAGAAGGACTAGCGCAGAAACGCATCAATTGCTTAATTTGCGCGAACATCGAGAACGTCGCCGAAACAACCAAACCGCTTCAACGTGGTCCCGGCGCCACAAGCCCAGAACATCTTTGAACATGACATGATTATCCCCTGCGGCTGCCCTCCCACATGCCCCATTACCTTTGGAACGTCATTGAAGTTGCATGCGCGTTACCGCTGGGAACTGCCAGCGTCAAAGCGCGGAGCTCGGCCATCGTGGACTACATTCGGTGCATGTGTTTCGATGCGTGGACAAATGGGCTTTATCTTGGGTTGATCCGGAAGCAATCAACGGGGATCAGTTTGTGGAACATAGTTACGGCATTCACAAAAAAAAGGTTTGGCAAACATTGCCTCATAACATATATATGCCAACATATTGTAGATCCGTGTGTTCAACCTCTGTGCTGATGATAACATCAGTTTCGGCGAGGACAAACCAGATGTGTCGACAATTTCTCAATTTCCCGGAGCCCCCCCGGCCCTCCTGAGACTGTCCCAAGATCATCGCCAACGCCGGCCAGACCGTCACTTACCGAAACAAGCAACCTAACAAAAACACGAATTAGCCAGGCGAAAGACCCTACAATATGCAGTTGTGGATACCGCAATCATGAATACCATCTTTGCCCGCGCCCCCTGCGTGGCCACGAACCGTGTAAGGGGCGTGGCGAAATTCGTTGCGGGGTACACAACGCAAACGAAGACGATAGGTCTGTGCGCGAGAGACTGAGAGCGGGCGAGTCTGAGCGCGTGCGAATCTGATTGTGAATGAATCTGATCGCGCGTGAGTCTTCGTGCATGAATGTCGACGCCCATGACGGCACGCCCCTCACAAGGGTCGCGCCCGCTTCCTTCCCGTTTTTTTTCTCCCTCTTTGCCCGTGCACGCCAATGTCCAAGGCTGCGGGTGCGGCGCCGCACGCAGTCCCCGCGACGCACGCCGGTCGCCCCGAAGGGGTCCAGACGACGCGCGCGGGTCCGCTGCGCGGAGCAGATAGAGCTAGCTTGCTGGCTGATAGCGGGCAATCCTCTGGCCGCTGGGCAGACCGACGACGGGGGCGAGCGAGGCGCTGGACAAAACGCAGCATGGAGTTCCCGCGACGCGCGCTGGTCGACCCGAGAGGGTCCCACCAGCGACGCGCGCGGGTCGTCCGCCATGCGAACCCTGCCACTATCCCTTCGGTGGAGCTCCCTGAAGGGCCACGATCCTCGTGAAGGGTGCGCCGAAATGGGGCGGGGCCGCCATGCGAACATTGCCACTGGCGCCTTCGGTGGAGCTCCTATGGGGCCACGATCCTCGTGAGGGGTGTTCCGAAATGGCCCGAGGCCGCCATGCGAGCCCTGCCACTGGGGCATTCGGTGGAGTTCCCTATGGGGCCACGATCCTCGTGAGGGGTGTGCCGATATGGGCCGAGGCCGCCATGCGAACCCTGCCACTGGCGCCTTCGGTGGAGCTCCTCTGGGGCACGATCCTCGCGAGGGGTGTGCCGAAATGGCCCGAGGCCGCCATGCGAGCCCTGTCACTGGGGCATTCGGTGGAGTTCCCTATGGGGCCACGATTCTCGTCAGGGGTATGCCGAAATGGCCCGAGGCCGCCATGCGAACCCTGCCACTGGCGCCTTCGGTGTAGTTCCCTATGGGGCCACCATCCTCGTGAGCGGTGTGCCGCAATGACCCGAGGTCGCTATGCGAACCCTGCAACTGGCGCCTTCGGTGGAGCTCCCTATGGGGCCACGATCCTCGTGAGGGGTGTGCCGAAATGGCCCGAGGCCGCCATGCGAGCCCTGCCACTGGGGCCTTAGGTGGAGTTCCCTATGGGGCCACGATCCTCGTGAGGGGTGTGCCGATATGGGCCGAGGCCGCAATGCGAACCCTGCCACTGGCGCCTTCGGTGGAGCTCCCTATGGGGCCACGATCCTCGCAAGGGATGTGCCGACATGGGCCGAGGCCGCCATGCGAACCTTGCTACTGGCGCCTTCGGTGGAGCTCCCTCTGGGGCCACCATCCTCGTGAGGGGTATGCCGAAATGGCCCGAGGCCGCCATGCGAACCCTGCCACTGGCGCCTTCGGTGGAGTTCCCTATGGGGCCACGATCCTCGCGAGGGGTGTGCCGAAATGGCCCGAGGCCGCCATGCGAACCTTGCTACTGGGGCCTTAGGTGGAGTTCCCTATGGGGCCAGGATCCTCGCGAGGGGTGTGCCGAAATGACCCGAGGCCGCCATGCGAACCCTGCCACTGGCGCCTTCGGTGGAGCTCCCTATGGGGCCACGATCCTCGAGAGGGGTATGCCGAAATGGCCCGAGGCCGCCGTGCGAACCCTGCCACTGGGGCCTTCGGTGGAGCTTCCTATGGGGTCACGATCCTCGTGAGGGGTGCTCCTAAATGGCCCGAGGCCGCCATGCGGACCCTGCCACTGGGGCCTTCGGTGGAGCTCCCTATGGGGCCTCCATCCTCGTGAGGGGTGTGCCGAAATAGCCCGAGGCCGCCATGCGAATCCTTCCACTGGGGCCTTCGATTGAACTCCCTATGGGGTCACTAATTGCTGTGCTGGGTGTGCCGAAACAGAAACATGCGGAGGGCATAGGCAAGGAGAGGAGGGGGAGGAGAAGGAAGGAGAGGAGAGGAACGCGGGGCGCTGTCTCTTGAAGACGAGGACCCAACATCACAGGATAGCTGGGATATCAAGTTTCACAGCATCTCTGCCATGATGCAAGACCTCAATCTCAAGACGGCCACGGCCCCTCAAGGCAG